CTGGAACAAAGCCGAGTTATTTGTACTTCCGATATCGTATTCTGTTGTCCAGTGCAATCAGATTGTCAAACTGATTCACTGTCCTCAAGCATTTGACCTTGCAAGTAAGAGCAGAGTGTGTGCTGCATGAAATAAAGAGGAAAAGAGTGGCAGCTTTCAACTTGAAACACCAAAAGTGGAGGTGTTTACAAAGAACATAATGATAATGGAGGCGAATTCGGTGATGACTAGCAGACACACCGTGAAGACAACGATGCCCGTGTGCACACTAATTGTTCAAACTTAGGAAATGATAGGATGATTGAGATGAAGGCTTTAACTCCAATGTGTCACGATCGGCTACATTTATGCATTGCTTTCTTGCTCCACTTGTGATAGGTTTTGGTATTCCATCAGCAAATTAATTTTATTATTTTACTGTTGCACCAGCACTACCACTATCCTAAGTAACACCCCCACATTTATTTGCTCCACCTTGACCTGCTTTTCCACCACTGACGTATTTACTCCCACTTCTGTTGCTAACACCTCTACTGGATTGACTATGAGGTTCACATTATATGATTTCACCACCTCCCTCTTTGTTCTGGCCACCAGCTCCATCTTCTCCATCATCACACAAACCGCTCTGATCACTGTCTCCATCGTTAGTATAGCCGCCTCTCCACGTGCCACCTCCGTTGCCTCCAGTTTCCCTCCGTGCTGAGTCTTAGTGCTTATTTATGCTGCCACGGAGGTCGTCAATATCCAAGCTGAAGTAATCATGAAATAGTGTGTTGAAATAACTGCCATTTATGCCAACAAATTGCTTACTACATTATTGTACAACCATTGGGCAATATGCTTTTGTACAGAAGCGTAATAAATGCAGTGTGTCCCAATCCCCTTAATCTGCTCTAATTGACACTATATTAATTGTATCTTTAAAAAATATGCTTGTAAGTAGGACCACTGCGCGCAGCTCATGGTAAAATTGTTATTGTAAGGTATTCATCTCCTGTGTAAGAATACATTCAATTCCAACTTTTCCAATTTTATGCCCTATAAGCATTCAATTCTCAACTGTTCTTCCATTTTAATCTGGTATGAAAAGTTGCGTATTTATGAGCAAACTGCTTTCATCATCTAGAGCTGCAAACGATCAGATCCTGGTATTTTTGTTGGCAGTATTACTGGAGAATCAATGCTGAAATAATCCCTTACCTCAAGTTGAATGAAGAAATTTAAGGTGTGAATCGTATAAAAGCACAATGACCCTAAAACGCGAATTCAGTAAAATATGTGAGAGAAATAAACCGTAAAAGAGGTACATTGTGATGTAGATAAGTTGCTAATGGTGACATGCAAAATCGACTAAAATTTCATACGGTAAATTTAGTTCATTCAGTTCCACAAATTTGAATATGATGATTTACAATTTTTAATTTGATTTTTAATGGCTTGGTGATGAGAATAGTTATTATTCATTTATTTAGGCTTTTGGAATTTTGCATTCGCATGGACTATAGCGCCTGGGGACTTCCCTGGATTCGAGAGAAGGCATAATACTCTGGCTGGGGCTGTTGCCATTAACCGGAGGCCAGCCCCCACGGCAAAGATGCAATGGCCAAGACACAAGGTTGTTCTCCACCAAAACCGAGGTGTAAACAAACAGCCGAAGTATTAGGTAGCCTCTCTTCTCTTCTGAGCGTAGTGCCCGTCGCTCGACCTCCTCGACCTCCAGCGTCAGTCATCTTAACGCTGTCATTATCAAGCTTCCGAGAAAGTGGGCAGACAGTAGACCGGAACCTCGCTGATTCCTCCTGGCAGTTCAACTGGATCTGCTGTTTCCTTCTGTATGGCAACTGCCGTTTCGAATGAGTGAATAGGCTGCTCATCACATGTGTCCATAGCTAGACGTAGAAACACTCGCCCAGAGCAGAGTCTAATGACACAGTGTAGGAATGGACACAGTTCAGTGGGAATGGGGCTTTGCGTCCCTTTCTCTTCACCACCGTTCCCTCTTTAGAACTGCCCAGTTATTTTTATCTGGGTTTTATCCAGCCAGCAAGGCAGTTATCACTGGTTCACATCATGGATGTCTATGCGAAAGTGCGGTAAAACTCCAAGATAGAGCTTTTCCCGATATTTCAGCTGTTACAGCTTCTCTCTGCAGAGCATGAAACTAGGGTAGTTCTCGTAAGTAGACGCCATTCCTTGCCCTACCACTGGGTGTCATCACGGATTCTCCTATCCTTAGCATATGAACGGCTTCTGTCCAGCTAGGGTTTATTCCTACAGATAGGGTTAGCTTTTGCTTCTGCCATTACATCTTTCCGAGACTCCCCCAAAGATGATTAAAACATAGTGCTCGGGAAGGAGGCATGTATTCTGCAGATGGTAAGGCTCAGCGCTGCTGACATGGCCCAGAGGCCAGCCCACATGGCTAATGCAAAATCATCAAAGCACACAATAA